GTGGCACTGACCGCGCCACTAGAGGCCGCGTCGATCACACTTCGGTACCTGGCGCAAGAAATAATCAAGTACACACACATGTCTAGCGCATGTCAGTTATCGTACAAAATCGGAAACAGTACACACCTATGTCTAGTGTATGTCAGCTATCATACAAGAACAGAACAAGTACACACGTATGTTAAGTGTATGTCAGTTATCGTGTATACACTACCAAAATATTATATGATTAATCTATGACAACTTTTGTTATTTCTCAACTGTATCAAGTATTGTCACTCTTTTTCACACTTACCATTATATCCACACTTACCTATGTAGTAAATGTAACGGTGTATCCAAGCTCGCCTTTGTATCCACACGTATCTTTGATTTCACGCTTACCAATGGAATAGCGCTTACCTTGTAGCAAATTTTAACTTTGTATCCACGCTTACCTTTGTATCTACGCTTATCTTGTATCCAATGCTTACCTTTGTATCTACTGTTATCTTTGTATCCTATGCTTACCTATGGACTAATGATTTTTGTTGTCAAGCTGACCATACCTTTTTGTAAAAACCAGCTCCTGGCCAGCCCCTAGAGCCTTACGTCTGCTTGTTTCTGGGACTGCCAGGTTGGCCAAAGATAAAGCTGCTGGAGCTGACATCACAGAGGCTGCCAGGAGATGATCCGCAGATATCTGATCAATAATTTAATGGGGATTATCCTAACTCTTTACTTACCCGCAGATATCTAATCACTGTATCCATCTTTCACATATCTACTGATATATAATCAATAGCTTAATATGGGTTATCCCCATTTTCCCACGTTTTCTTTAACTTGCTTTCGCGTCTTTCCAATCAAATCTTGCGATCGAAATTTCGGGCACTTCCCAGTTAGCTAGCGCGCTGAAATTTTCAGGGAAGCTTTGTTTCCGAAGACAATAGAATATTCAATTGTTATTATTACTAAATTGATCCATTGAAACATTTTATTGATAATTTTAGACCGCTATATAATTGTACAAAAAACGAGGGGGAAAAGGGACATAACCCAGTAATTGTAATTTGATGAAAACAAGGTTCGGTACTCTCCCTCTTTTTGCTTACTGATTAGTTGTCACGCGGTGTTTGTGTACAAACAACCAGAACGTAACAACTGGTGGCCAGTATGGGGGAGACGATATGGTCGAGTGGCTGGGCACACGATTGCTAACCCACTCGACACGGGTTCAAGGCACGTGTTTTTTACGAGTTGTCTTCGTTTACCCAAAAAAAAAATGAATGCGAAAAGATAAAATCGATAGCAAAATTTTAAAGCAAACAAACAGACAAAGACTAAAAAGTAGAAAATAATTATCATTAAAAAAGTTTTAAAAAACCCACGTTTTCTGATTGAACTAAAAAGTAGAAAATAAATGCTATACATCACAATAATGCAAGCGATCACTCTACTATAAGCAATGAAAAACGTGGGGCGCCGTGATTTTTTACAGTTTCTAATACTGTTGACTCTCTACAAGCTCCCTAATAAAAGTCAATAGTATTATCTAATCAATAATAATATAACTTTTACATCTTATATTAACAATGACCGATAAAAAACTTTTACTTCGGCGCCCCACGTTTTTCATCGCTTATAGTAGAGTGATCGCTTGCATTATTGTGATGTATAGCATTTATTTTCTACTTTTTAGTTCAATCAGAAAACGTGGGTTTTTAAAAACTTTTTTAATGATAATTATTTCACATAAAATCATTTATCGGAACTATACTTATATTTCACATATACGCAGAAATCGTATCAAGAATGTTATGGGGTTATCTATATCTTTCACATATCCCACTTCTACAGGAATCACAACGAAACAACGCGTTACGCTACATTAAAAGTGATATCTTAATTATACTGATAATGAATTAGTAGGTAATTTTTTTATCGAGTCGTCCATCCACCCACCCACATTTTTCAAAGAGTCACACACTCACAGCTCACCCCAAGAGCGATAAATAAACCAAGGAAGCTTCCCGTTACTGTGGCCATGGTGCTAGCCATAAAGCAATGGAGCTCTGATGACGTCAGGTATTTCAAATATGACCCCAAGATTAGAACAGAATCCAGCTGAAAAAATATATCACAATCAGCTTACACGTTGCTTTAAATATTATGCTTGAGTTCAGTGTTTCTTTTTTTTACGGGGGGGGGGCACTCTTGATATTTTCGGGGGGGGGGGGGGGGGTGGGGGTGGGGGGTGGATTGTGGCGGACAAGGGTAAAATTATGTTTTCTATATAACTTCCATTTCGTTTAGGGGAGTTAATTTGCCCAAAAAGATGCATGGAAGAAACATGCTTACGTTGAAATAGTACATTCTAAGTAATGATTTTTAAAAAAAAATTCAGCCGTAACACGAGTCACTGATTAATTAAATCTTACTGGTCCCATGAAGATGTTGGCCGAGGCATTGAGGGACTCAGCGGGTGACGCGCCTGTGCAGAGGGTCAGGAACTTGCCCAGTATCTGCAGCAGGACGTGAAGCACCCCCAGTTGTTCAAGGACGGATAAAAAGGCCATGACGAAAATGATGAGAGGGATAATCTAAGGAGGAAAAACATTGCAAGTACCAAAATTGTTGGTCATCTATAGAAGAAAAACATTAAAAGTATCCAGATTGTTCGGAGTGTAGGTCTAACTTTCACATGAGGTTTGAGTATAATATTTCCTAAATTTATTGAAAATGACTCTAAGGTCTTTACTTACAAAAAAAATAAATCCGTTGGATTTGAGATCAATCCCAAACAAAAACTGCCCGCCTTCATTGGAGAACGAGACCAGAGTGGTGACAACCTCCCCCACCCACCGGAATATCTGCTGCACCACGGGAACTCGCAGAACAGCCAAGGCAAACACGTACTGCATCAACAGACCAGTGACCACTGGCCGCCAGATTACCTGGGCAAAACAAACAAAAATAGTAATTTTCAAAACCTGACGACCAACGGGGCAGATGAAGTAGAGTTCACCTGTTTCTGTCTCCTAGACATATGAAGGAATAACGTAGTCAGCACCATCTTAAAACCGTCCTCGCGTCCAGCCATCTCGACATACGAACAACTCACTCACTAAACCACCAAACACCAAACAACCAGTTTCTTACACGGTAGACTAGACTAACTGATACATACACGTACACAGACGTACTGACAATCACAACAAATAAACTAAAACTCAGACACCGACATAAACAGACACAGAAAGACAACCAGACTCAGTATTTACTTTATGGGGATGTGAGGATGTGATGAAAAACCCCAGCAACATGGCGGCCATGCCGGTGAGAGAGACGAGGTTTTTAGGACGGACCATGACAACTTCTGTCACCAATGTAGCCACTGTCGCCACAACACAAGCCAAAGCTGTACATCTGGATATTAAAATGTTTGTTCCTTTAATCTTCAAGCAAATGTGATTTTTTAAAGAACTCACTGCCTTCATAAAACATGTTTTTCAAAAAGACGCTTTTTGTATTTGTAGTTTTTTAGTCGGAATTTACGCTAGTGTATTTGTTTTATTTTCTTTATTTTCTAGGTCTTTGTTATTAAAAAATAAATAAAACGGAAGTGATCTCCACTAAGCTTCGGGATATGGGGTCGTCCATAAATGACTTCACACTCGAAGAAGAAAGGGGGGGGGGGTCCAAAATTTTTGTGACGGTGTGTGATGAGGGGGAGGGGGTGTTGAGATAGTGTGACGTCACTTTTTTGCATTCTAAAAAAGCAATGTTAGAAAACGAGTTTTAGCCGTTATTTCGCGTTTTAGAAAACGGTTTTAATAAATTGTAATAGGAATTGATCAAAATAGTCCACTTTCACGGAGTTCTGACAAGATTTTTGGAAAACATATCGATGTTTTAAGAAATATTCAACAGCATTTTTAAGGGGGAATTGTAGGCTGAGCTGTGACGTCATTATATAAGGGGGGGGCTGGCTTTTTGTGACAACGAGTAACGGAGGGGAGGTGGGGGGGGGGGGGGGGGGTAAAAATCGTCAAAAAAGCGTGACGTCATTTATGGATTACCCCTATAGACATAATTTTAATATATTTTTAATTACTTAAACTTTTAAAAATAGAATGGAATCTCCTAGAAAAAAGAATTGTGTACCAAGTGAACGCCAAAAAATCTATGTATAATAGTACAGAATATTATTAGTACTTTATAAATTCACATGCTTATTTTGAGAAATCGGAAATAGCGTGAAGTACTACTTCCGGTCAACGGAAATTACTCAAATTTTGACAGAAGGCATAAGATTAGATCTTTAACTAACATGTGAAATTTCATTTATCTATCTGAAATAGTACTTAAGTTATAATCTTTTGAAAAATTGAAAGTAGAATAACTGCCATTTCCGGTTACCGGAAATCGCTTATAAGTAATACAGAACTAAAAATTTGATATAATACTTATATATGAAAATTCATCGACCTAGCTGTAACGATACTCAAGTTATCGTGTTCACAGACACACACACAAACACACACGCATACACACACTCAGACAAGATTGCAAAATTAAGTTTTTCAGACTCAAGGAGGTGTAAAACGTCGAGATTTTTAAAAAATCTTTTTTTTTCACGATTACAATACTTTCGCTATACACTTTACTTCGTATACGAGAAAGTAAAAATGACTTAATATTATTTTAAATTCCTAATCTTAAAAGAGATCTAATAATATCTTTTTTTGTTTTAGTTAAAGTGCTATTTTATGATTGCTAACTTAATTAAAGACTAAAGATATTAGAAAATTAGTACCGTCTGAAGCGTTTTAGAGCTACAGGGTGCTTGGAAAACAACTTGCGTATCTTTGACGTCACACGATCGACAGGCAGGTAACGATAGGACAAGGCAAGGACCAGGACAGCTGTCAGGACAATAAGTCCTGTGGATGTGCCGTCACTGTGGTGAAGGTACATAGCGTACACAAAGTAGGAGATGTACAAGAGCAGACAAGTCACGTGACGTGCCTTCTTTAGGGCTGAGCCTCTCTCTCGGCACAGCTTGAAGCATCGGCTTCTGGCAGCGTAAACATGAAAGGTCAAAGTTCGTGTTTTTTCCGTTTCAACGTCCGTCTCACTCTCGCTGCTAGAGTCCTCCATCTGCTCCCCTTCTGCTATCTGTAACATTTCTATCTTCACTAATTCGTAGCTGGCTTTAGAAGGACTCGGACTTTCATGAAGTTTCTGACTTATGTCGTGAATTTCAGTCGGAGACTCCAAATTACAGCCAGCGACTTTTTGATCTTCTGCTAATGACAGTCCATCCGTTCTTTGTTGTTGATGTCCGGCTAAAGACTGTCCATCCAAGATGGGATGGTGACGCCCAGTGAAAGACGGCCCATAAGTACTAGCCTGTTGATTGCCGACCAAATTCCGCACTTCTAAATCTGGATACTCCACTTGTGGATTTTCTGTTTTGAGGTCAAATGCCAGCAGACCGCTTCCATGGTCGCCGTTTTGAGCCATGGCGAGGTTCAAAAGCTGGCTAGATCTATGAACATAAAATTGTCTAGAAATAAACAGGGAGTGATTATTTTTTTGCAATAATAATATAAAAGAAATATTTATTTTTTTAGTTTTAAATTACAAAACATTTAAAAGCATATAATAATATTTATTAATAATGCAGTAGTTGAAAACAAAATTGACAATTATCGAAAATTTGTAGACATGTTTGACAATACTTTTCTTTCTAGCTCAAATGTATAAGGGTAAACATTGTCATTCACTTTGAAATTTTCCATATTGGATTCCAGCTGATAGAATGCATTTGTTAAAGTTTTGCTATGCTATAAACTTTCTGACAATTTAAATGGGACACCTTCAAGCTCAGCAAATCCATGCCCTCTTCCAATTCGTCTAACTCACGGGTTCCCAACCTGGGGGTCGCGACCCCCTTGGGGGTCGCGAAGGGCTTTCTGGGGGGTCGCCAACTGGTATACTAAACCTTAGTAATGAGAAACAAAAAAAATAAATATTTAGAAGAATATCTGAAATTCGGCTTTACTAACATCACTGGAAATGAAATAGAGAAGAATCAATTATTACTCAATACTGTACAAAGTTGTTCTCAGTCACGAGTTTATGAACTCTTCAAAACTAAAACGTCATTTGAGACGAGTCATTCGGATATAGAGTTCTTTCGTCGACATGAAGCTAATTGCAAACGTCAGAGACTTGATCGAACTGGAAGTTTTCACCAAGGAAACACAGCATTAGTGCAAGCATCACATGAAGTCACGATAGAAAATGTCAAGCAAAAAAAAAAAACACAATAGGAGAAAATCTCATCAAACGCTGCATGTTGAGGATGGTGAAGTTAATTCTTGGGGATTCCAGTGCAGTAAAGATGCAACAAATATCCCTGCCTAATAATAATATTCAGCGGCTTATAGCAGACATGTCCGTAGATGTTAAATAACACATTTGTATTGAAATCAAGCTTTCACCATTGTTTGCTTTTCAAGTTGATAAATCAACAGACTTGAGTTCGTGATCGCAGTTGTTGGTCTTTGTCTATATTCATTCAGATGATAGAAAAGAAGAGTTGCTATTTTTTGAAGATAGCATGGAAAAAATAAATACGTTTTTCGAAACTGGATGATTAAAATGGGTTAAAACGGCTGTGGGGGTTTGAACAAATGGTGCGCCATCTATGTTTTGGTCAAAATCGGGCTTTCAGAAAACAGAAAAGATTTAGCTCTCTAACCACTGCCCTCGCCACCAAGACTCCATTGCTAGTAAAAGTCGTAACTTATATTAAATCTGGAGCTTTCAAAGAACTGTGCAAATACATTAATAAAGATCACGAGGTTCTGCTTTTCTACACTACATCACGCTGGCTGTCAAAAGGAAATGTAAATCGTGTTGTGAAATTGAAAGCTGAAATCAAGTTGTCCTTCGAAGTAAAAATGAAACAAGACCCTTTTGGTATACTTAAAACGACATAGAGTGGTTGGAGAGAGTATCATACCTAGCAGATGTATTCGAACATCAACATAAGCTTAACCTGAAGCTTCAGGGAAAATGAACGCATATTATCACTTTCCATGATAATCTCGGGGCATTTTTATCAAAGCTGCAAAATCGGCGAAGAAAATAAATCTTGGAAATATTGCCATGTTTGAGAACTCTGCAATGAAGTAGATGAATCTGTTTGTGAGATAATTAACATTTTGAAAGAAGCGATTTCTGGGCATTTTGAATCTCTTGAAAACGAACTATTTCTCTGCGCTGAAAAAAGAAAAATCTGCATTGACGCATTACCCATTCTCTTCTTCCCTTGATGTTGCCAGTATTCCCGATGAATTACAAGATGAAATCTTTGATTTGCAGAATGATTCCGCGCAAGATGAAAAACTGCACACACAATTTTGGTGTAGTATTCACCATTCATACCCAAACGTAATATTGATTGACTTTTCGAGAATAGATTTTCAACACTATTCTCCGATTAAAAACAAAATTAAGGAATAAATTGAATGTTGATAATGAAATAGGTTGGCGTTAACAAAAACTTAACCGCGAATGTTTAGTAAATAACACGCAATTTTACACATGGTATTAAAACAGTTATCAAGGGTAGTTAACATTGAAAGTCTACTAGAAAATCTTAATTTAGTGCTTGTTAATTTCCATACTAATTTCGGCTTTTTAATTCTATGGGGGTCGCGGGTCACTTACTTTTTATAAAGGGGGTCGCCACTCGAAAAAGGTTGGGAACCACTGGTCTAACTGATTCTGATTCCGCTTGCCGTACAAAGACATGTCTATTTTTTATTTGATGAAACTAACTAATTAACTAATTACTAGGGTCTAGATTTAATTTTTGTCTGTATCAGACCGATTATTTAGAATGTTTTTTTTTTTTTTTTTTTTTAGATTTAATATTGTCGGCATGTTCATTAAACATTAAACTTAATTTCAAAAAGATATCATCTTTTACAATAATTCTAATTATGTCTGAAAATTATTTATATTTAGTCCTTTAGCACTTACTTCCCTTTGATAAATTAGGAAAACACAATTACTTCCCTTTATAAAACATTGCATTAGTGGAAAAGAATTTACTTTTTATTACTTTGTTTTGGTGTTGGGAAAAAAATAATTACATAATTAGTGGGGATTGATCATGTGCAAATGTTGTAGGTATTTTACGGATAAGCTTGGAGTATTATAATTGTTCATTTGGTTTGGTTTGGCACCTACGTTCGTTTAAGTGATTGCAAAAGACTATGAATAAGTTGGGGTACTATAGTCGTTTATTAAGCTGAAACAGGCGATTCTGCCCCGGGCTAGACTGTGAGCACTTTGCGTTTATGTTCGCGTTTGTGTTTTCTTTGTGTTTAGGTTGGGTTTGCGTTAGTGGTTGCGTTTTGATTTGGTTAGTTTTTGTTCTTTCGTTTTTCGTTTTCGTTTGTGTTTTTTTTTTGGTTTTGTGTTTGTATTTGTGTTTGTGGTTGGTTTTGCCTTTGGATTTGGTTTGTTTTCGTTTGCTTTTTCGTTTGTGTTTTTGTCTTTGTGTTTGTGTTTGTGGTTGGTTTTGCATTTGGATTTGGTTTGTTTTCGTTTGCTTTTTCGTTTTTTTTCTTTGTGTTCGTATTGGTGTTTGTGGTTGTGGTTGGGTTTGTTGTTAGGTATTTGTTTTCGTTTGCTTTTTTATTTGCTTTTTCTTTGTGTTTGTATTTGTGTTTGTGTTTGTGGTTGTGGTTGGGTTTGTTGTTAGGTTTTTGTACTTGTAATTGTGTTAGCGTTATGTTTGCGTTTTGTTGTTTTGGTTTTGGTTGGTTGTAGTTTGAGTGGGCAGTGCCGGGTTTATGATGATTACTAAACACACAGGTAATGGTCTTTAACTGAAAGGTTTTTCACAGAAGCCAGAGCAGGACCTGGCCGGGACGACTAGTATTCTTATATAACTTGGAATAAAGACATGATTTTTAATTACTTAAACTTTTTAAAAAAAAATTCATAAAAAACGTTTTAATAACAAGCTTTTATGTAATGATGCACTAAAAAGTAGAAAATAAATTATAGACTACTATTTAAATAACTATAAAGAAAAGCGTGGGTCACTTTAGTATCTATTGGATACCTTTACTAATGTTAAGGAAGACACCCACGCTTTTCTTTATAGTTATTTAAATAGTAGTATATAATTTATTTTCTACTTTTTAGTGCATCATTACATAAAAGCTTGTTATTAAAACGTTTTTTATGAATTTTTTTCAGTACTTTACATGTTTTATTTACAATAGAGTTACATGACTAAAAACCATTGCGCGCCTACTGAACATCACGTTCAGTAGGCGCGCAATGGTTTTTGAACGCAGCCATTACGTGATGGCGCAGCTATTGAAGGTGATGACGCGTGTGGTGTGGTTGGCTAGACATGCCTACTAATTCGGTCCAAATTTTAATTAATTCATAAAAAATTAATTAGGCATCCAATTAAGTCAAATATAGTTTCAGATTGCATTGTCTTCATGTCTTGACCCACGTGCCAAGTGTGAATCGTATCGGTCAAGTAGAAGTTTCCGAATTTTCACTCCTGCGTTTCGGTCTAGACAGACTTACGACTGACGACTGACGAGGAAGTGAGTTAAATAAAAGCTTGTAAAAATAAAAAAAGAATATCATAGAAAAATGAATTACTGTGCACCAAGCGAACGCCAAAACAAAATGTGCATAATAGTGCGCAATATTATTAGTACTTTATAAATTTACATGCGTTTTTTGATAAATCGGAAATAGCGTAAATTAGTACTTCCGGTCAACGGAAATTACTCAAAATTTGACAGAAGGTAGAGAATTAGATCTTTTACTTACACGTGAAATTTCGTTTATCTATCTGAAAAAGTTCTCAAGTTATAGGCTTTTGAAAAATTCAAAGAAGAAAAAGTACCTTTTCCGGTTATCAAAAATCGCTCAGAAGTTGATACGGATCTACGATTTTGATAAAATACTTATATATAAAATTTCATCATCCTAGCTGTAACGGTACTCAAGTTATCGTGTTTACACACAGACAGGCAGACAGACAGATACACACACACACACAGGCAGACACACAGACATACGGACAAGATTGCAAATTTATGTTTTTCCGTATCAGTGAGGTGTAAAATAGTCGAGATTTGTAAAAATCTCGATTTTTTTTTTGCACAATTACAAGACTTTCTCTATACTTCGTATATACGAGAAAGTAAAAAAAGGCGAAATGATATAAATAAAAACAAAATCATTGGCATAATTATTTTGCCAAAACAAAGAAAATAGCAAGTTTTGAGTCAGGCATAAGGACAACCCGATTGAGTATTCAATTGCTTATCAATGAGGGGATGAAAATATCAAATGAATTCTTTACTTCTTTGATGCAGTGTCGCACCCGTGGTGGGTGGGGTAAGAAAAGGGTGCTTCTGGCAAGAGAGGAAAAGTTAGGATTTTTGCCCCTATAGATAAAATAAAAATTAATTTAAAAAATTGCACTACAATATGGTAGAAAGCATTAATCTATTAAGACATTTTTGATGTTGGTTATTATGAAGATTTAATAAGAGACTTTCAATACTATGATGATATTATTGAAAAGTTATTTTTATTTTTTTTCATGCATCATAGTTTTTCCGAAGGGTGGGTTTCGTGTTGTATATTATGAGGGGTGATTATATTAAACGGTTAGTGGTTGGAATAAATGCTATATTGTTATGCTATACCAGTGTTTCCCAAAATGCTTCGAGTGGCGACCCCCTTTTATAAGAAGTAAGTAACCCGCGACCTCCGTAGAAATAACAAGTCAAAATTAGTAAAGAAATTAATATGCACTAAGATTTTCTAGTAGATTTTCAATTCTACATTTTTCTTGATAACCGTTTAATTCGCTGAGTGAAAATACATGTTATTTACTAGTCTCAACATTCGTGGTTGAGTTTTTGTTAACGCCAACCTCATGCCATTCTCGACATTTAATTTATTTCTTTGTTTTGTTTTCAATTGGATAAATGTTGAAACTTTATTCTCGCAAAGATATGAAGACACTAAAGTAACTAAAACTCAAAAAGCAAGCAGAGTCACGTTTGGGTATCAATGGTGCATACTACACTAAAATTGTGTGAGAAGGTTTTCTTTAAATACTTTACGTGACGCGGAATCCTTCCACTAATCCAATAATTTATCTTCTAATTCATGGTAAAAGTTGGCAACATCAAGGGCAAGAGAATGGGTAGCGAGTCAATGCAGATTATTCTTTTCTCAGCTCATTGAAATAACGCCGCAGTTCGTTTTCAAGAGATTCAAGATGTCCAGAATCCTCCTTCAAATCATTTATTTATCTCACAGAGTCATCTACCACACTGCAGAGTTTCTCAAACATGGCAATATTTCCAAGATTTATTTTTCTTCGCCAATTTTGCAGCTTTGACAAAATTGCCGCAAGATTATCATAAAAAGAGACAGGTGACCAGAAAGAAAAACGGAAAAAAGCGCAACGGAAAAAAAGCGCAAAACAAAAAGCGCAAACAGAAAAAAGCGCAAACACAAAAAAGGGCAAACGGAAAAAAGCGCAAACGGGAAAAAAGTGCTGTCATAGACTGTATTATTGGGAATGTTTATTATATTGGGTTTTACATGAAGTTGCATGAATGTAGAGTACCTGGCTAACGGAAGGACTGTCTGAGCGACTCGTCATGTATTTTTCCATGCTTTTGTGAGATCGCTCATTGACGTAAGGAGAGAGAAAGTTGTGTATAAAAGGTAGAGCGCAAGATGAACGAGGTGTGCTTGCCTGTGAATGTGTAGTAGGATGTCACCACGTTACTTTGCTTCTTGATTGTACTATAACAGTTTTTCTTCTACTATCATAACTATGGATTATTATCATTTCATTGTGGATATTGTAAATAAAGTTTAAAGTTGCAAACTACTGTTGTGTTAGTGTTTCAAACGAACCCACAACAACAACCATATCATCCTATCAACAATGGATATTACTGTTGTTACATTGGTGTCAGAAGTGGTAACACGTGTGTTACATTATCAGAAGTAGTTGAAAAATTTGTTGCTACATTATTATCAGAAGTGGTTGAAGAAGCTGATAAATTATTGTCAAAAGTGGTCCACATTTGATACATTGGAGTCTGAAGTAGGCGTATACTCAAGTTGTTAGATTGATGTTGTTATTGAAGTCAGAAATAATCAACGTTTTTTCTAATATTCTTATTAGAGATTGAAGTTATGGAAATCTACAGCATCATATATATTGTATTCAAGTCAGGTTATCAACGTGATAATTGAAATCACATACTTTTCGACATTGTCTCACCAATGTCGAATACAGATCGTCTGTAACAGGCATTGTTACATGTATATTCTATCTGGATTAGCTGATCAAATTTCTATTTGGATTTAGCTGATCAAGTATTAGTGTTTTTTCTACTGTGGATTAACAGATCAAGTTTATTATTTGTAACTGTTCTCAAACTGTTCCTAAAGCTGTCTTATCTAAAGCTGGACACATTTCTACTCTAAAAAGGCTACTGGAACTATTTTGAAATTTTCTTCAACTATTTGGAATTTATTATCAAAGTGAACGTTACTATTTTTGGACGTATATATATATGTATATACTATGGATTACCAGATGTCTGATATCAACTGACAAGCCAGAAACAAAAAAAGCATAGTGTTACATTAATCACAATACAAATTGTAAACTAATAATTCTATTTCTTTACATTTTATGTAACAAGTATTCAGTGATTGTGATTGATTATTTCAGGAAGAGTAACATTATAAAAATGTCAGGTTTTGCAACATTTATACAGGTGGGTGAGAAACTAGGAATGAGATTAGATGGAGAAACATTGGCCTACATAGAGGAAGTATGGGAATATAATATGGGAGAGAATCCAGACCGATATGAAAGTACCTTACACATTTTATTAAAAAACCTGCAAAAAGAAGAAGAAATGTCAGAAGTAGATAAAGCAGAGGAGACTGTAAAACCAAAAGGAAAGCGGAAAAAAAGAAACAGAAAACAGAGAGCAGATAAAAGGGCTGAAACTAAGGAAAAACAAATCATGTCAAATTTTGATAAATTAATATTTATAGCGGAGGAAAGCGGATTGAGTTCAGAAGACAGCATAGCCTGGGCAACCAATCAACTCGAAAGAGAAAGGAAAGAGAAAAAGAGAAAATTAGGAAGCAGAAGAAGAAGAAGAAGAAGAAGAAGAAGGCTAGACTAGCCCATGAAAAAGTAATGAAAGAATTAGTCGATGAGGTAGAAATAATGCATTATAGATTAAGAGATTTTACATACACATATGAACCAAAATTCGAAAGTCAACAGGCAGAACATGAAGAAGTAAATATTGGCAACATTTGGAATGAAGAACAGAGTAACATAATCCAGGAAGAATTGAAACCCTAGGATAAAATAGTCGGTGAACTTAATAATGATTTCAAGGTGACAGATACATTAGAAAGTCTTAAGATTGACTCTTTTGACTGATACGCAGGTACGCAAGAATATTGGTAGAAGTTTTACCGTAAGTCCATCAGAGAATGGCAGTCAAGAAGAAATAAGTCCATCAGAGAATGGCAGTCAACAAGAAATAAGTCCATCAGAGAATGGCAATCAACAAGAAACAAGCCCATCCGTGAATGGCAGTGATGATTTAATAAGTCCATCAGAGAATGGCAGTCAAGAAGAAATAAGTCCATCAGAGAATGGCAGTCAACAAGAAATAAGTCCATCAGAGAATGGCAATCAACAAGAAACAAGCCCATCCGTGAATGGCAGTGATGATTTAATAAGTCCATCGGAGAATAGCAGGAATCATGATAAACTAATGATGATTAACGAAGCAGTCAACGTAATAAGCAACAATGAAGAGAACGTACCTATTGAAGATTTACTTAAAAAATTAGAGTCAAACTATAAAGAGGAGATACTAGAACCCAAGAATAAATTTAACTAAGAAATGGAGAAATTGACACAGAAATATATGTGTGAATTAGAATCAATAAAGAAGTACAAGGAAGCTAAGGAAGGTGAAAAAATAACTAGAAACTACAATGTCATTAATGCACAAACTGAAACTAAAAGAAATTTAGCAAACTATGGATACAGTCACCATGTCAATAAGAAGCCAAAATCTAGATGTTTTTACTGCGGAAAAACATGTCATTACCAAGATCAATGTTGGCATAGGTTGGCAAATCAGAGAAGAAACAATTTTGTACAAAGAAAGTTATGTGGGAAATACAGTAACATCAAGTATTTAAGAAAGAATGTATCAAGTTCCAATCAGAACTACAATAATGTGAAGAGGTAGGCTATACTAATGAAAGATACCGAACCAAGACATATTATGAGAGGCCAAGGCAATGCCATAATATTTGTATTAACTCGGTTGATAAACCATGTGAACGAAAACAAATTAAGAAAACTACGACGTAAATCAGAAACAAGAGAAGAAAGAAATGATACAAATAAAGTGTGACGTCGTTCAGAAACCAGAGGAGAATAAGTATAATGGTCAAGAAAAAACTAATATTAAAACAAATGAAGTAAGACAAGTTACACGAAATCTAGGAAATCATTATAGTAGCAAAGCTAGTAGCTACACATACAATTTAAGGGAGAGATGGCAAACAGGTCATTGTCAACTACACAAGAACGATTACACATGCTATAGAGTTAAACAAGGATGCTAATTTAAAAAAGAAACAATATACAGTACCTTATGCATACAGAGATGCAGTGAAGAAAGAATTAGATAATTTGATCGAAACTAACAAAATACAACGCTCGAATTCATTTGTAGCTTCACCAATGGTGATAGTAAAAAAAGAAGAATGGAAAAGTAAGAATTTGCTGTGTATATATAGAATTGAATAAAATCACAAAATTAGACGCAGAACCATTGAGAGATACCAGTGAACTATTAGACGAGATAGGGAATTCAACAATTTTCACTCATCTGGACTTAAACCGAGGTTTTTGGCAAATAGGTATGGAAGAGGAATCCAAACAATACACAGCGTTTACAACTGATGAAGGATTATTTTAGTGGAATGTTATGCCCTTTGGCCTAGTAAATTCAACAGCAACATTCTCCAGATTTATGAGAATAATGCTGGCAGATATAAAGAATGTCGTACATTTTGTAGATGACATAATTATCCATTCCAAGGATATCAAGACACATATACATTCAGTTACAGAGGTACTAACAAAATTAAGGGAGCATGGCGCGACTATTGCACCTGAAAAGTTGAAATTTGCAAATGAAGAAATGAATTTTTTGGGATTCAAATTAGGCAAAAATCAAATTAGACCTACTGACGTAAATAAAAATAAAATTCTCAACTTACAGATTCCTAAAACCAAGAAAGAAGTCAAATGTGTATTGGGTCTATTTAATTTCTACAGCAAATTCATACCCAAGTACTCAGATATAACTCTACCTCCTAAGACAGCTAATTACCAAGGACAGCAGTAGAACAATAAGTTGGTCTAAAGAATGTCAAGATGCTTTATAGCTAATAAAGCAGTACTTTGAACAGGAAGTAACGCTTAATGCACCTAACTTTGATAAGACACAAACACTAGTAACGGATGCTTCAAATTATGGATTAGGTGTATGTGTAATGCAAGAAGTGGACAAAGTACTACGGCCTATTTTTTATCTAAGGAGGTCACTGAACAAAACAGAGCAAAACTACTCTACTGTGGAAAAAGAATCTCTCGCCGTTGTATGGTCCATGACCAAACTACAGAAATATTTATTTCGAAGGAAATATTCGTCCTTCTTACAGATCACAAGCCATTGATAGCTCTAAACAACAAAAGGAAAGCCAACAGCAAAATAAACAGATGGTCATTGATTTTGCTGGACTTTCAATATGAAATAGTCTATAAAAAGGAATGATAATGTAGTCGCAGATTTCTTGTCTCGTCAAAATGTTGATAATACAGAAACTGATCCTAATCTACAGCACATAAGTCAACACTTATAATGTAAATAATAGTTTCGCTGTCTGTGTATCTATCTATCTATCTATGTATATATCTATGTATCTATCTGACAAGAACGCTCTAGAGAAAACACAAGCAGGGAGGGGTCGCTACGCCTCTGGGTTCAATAAGTGTCATGGGCGGTTCCAGTCCCTTTGTAACATAGAGTTAATCTGGCTAACGTTTCCGCTGGACCGGTGGGTCGCTATTCAAGTGGCAGATCCACTTTTGGCCACACCCAGGGTGATGTAAGAGCTAACGTCAGCTGTATATCAAAACCCCCCGGGTGTGCTTGGTATCTCGCCCCTTTTATAGCCCTAACCCATTGATCGTAACTACCCCTAGTTACATACTCCCCGTCAAACTACATACTCCCCGTCAAACTTTTATTGGTGACCACACCAAAGTGTTCTAAAGTTTTCCCTCCCCTCCACTTATTATCCCTTCGTGCCGAACCTGGTACTATCTATTTGCAGTTAAAACATTTTGTACCCTTACGTTTCCTCATGCTCCTCCGCGGGCCTATAATTGGTTTCTCTATGCTCTCTCTGTTTCTGAGAGGGTCTGTCTCCTCATCGTTGTGGTTATCCCCCGCTGGTTTATCACTTTCCCTTTCCTGTTGTTGACCCGGTTCCATGATGGGTATGATGATTTCTGAGTACATATTTGGTTCCCAGAATTTCCTAGCTTTACGTGTGTGGTACTCCTTCTCTTAATTAGGGTAATATTTCTTTAATTGTGCAATGTTTACCCATCGATCGGCTTTGGTGTGATTCTCGGCTTTCACCTTGAAGGGGCCACCGGCAACTTTAGGCATCTCAATGACTTGCCATACCCCCTGTCCCCAATCCCCATACTTCATGTATTTTGTTCCTGCCTATAGGGTGGCTGCGAACTAATACTTTGTCGTTCAGTCGGTTGGCGGATCTTTTGTCTGTACCGGCGGTTCTCTTCGCCGTGCTTCGTGTTCTAGTCTTTCTTGTACCACCATGCACATCTCTCTTATCCGCTTCATATGTTCATTCACATATTCCAGTGCGGTTTATGGGCCAGCCATGTTTTCCTTTGTACCTAGGAATAAGTCAAGAGGGAGTCGAGCCTCCCGTCCGAACAATAACATATGTGGCGAAAAGCCGGTCGTGGTTTGTGGGGTGCAGTTGTATAGATATACCAATTCTGGGAGAAAATCCGGCCAACGTTTTTTCTGTTCAGGTTGTAGAGTACGCAGCAGATCATGCATGCTGCGGTTAAACCGCTCGCTCTGTCCATTACATTTTGGGTTGTACGCCGTGGTCCTCGATTTGGTGATACCGTAGTGGCTGCACAGTTGGCTAATTACTTCTGACTCGAAGGCCCGTCCTTGGTCAGAGTGTAATTGTGTTGGTATACCAGTAGCACCATTTGGTGCCAGTTGGTGCCAGTAGCACCGCCGTCGTAATATTTTGAGAGTTCTCTCCTGCCCTTGGTGTCCCGCTCTGTCGTGTGCCAACCTTATCATTTCTTCTCGTAGCTTTGTAGGTACCACCACCTGGTGTATTGTTCCTTCTATGTCGTCATGTATTCTCCGCATGAGATCACCATCCTTCCTACTGAGGCGGTCCCACTGACTCAGTAACTTCTTTGTTTCATTGGTCAATGGACGGACTGTTCCATGTGTTAATGCCTTACTTCAAAACAAAACACAGGAAACATACATAGCATTCTTACAGCAGCTAACGGTCTTAAACACAAACCTGCAACCAATTTCTATTATGATTGACTTTGAAATGGCTGTGATAAAAAGTGTTGAAAGGGTATTTCCAGAGTGTTAGGTAAAAGGATGTTTCTTCCATCTTAGCCAAAATATATACAGAAAAATTCAGCACTCTGGCCTTCAAAAACTCTACCAAGTTGATAGTGAATTTGCTCTCAGGCTCAGAATGCTACCTGCGTTGGCTTTTGTTCCCATCGAACACATGATTTATGCCTTTGAAAAAATTATTGGAAATTTTCCCCTAGAAGCAATGCCGATTGCAGACTACTTTGAGGACTACTATATTGGCATACCACAACGTTGAGGTCGGAGAAAACCTATGTTTCCACTTGATATGTGCAGAAGACCATATGCCAAAAACAAACATATGGGATGTTGCCACCCAAATATTTGGAAATTTATTGACTTTATTAAAAGGAACAATCGCCCCAAGAGGTTTATTGTACACAGATTAATTCAGGTCACTGTTTACGAAAACAGAAAAAAAATATATTGATAGCAGCTCTCGAATTTTAACTGTTGTTAATAAATAAATAAATAAATGTTTAATGAGTCCACCATTATTGAGTATTTGCGAGGCATCGCTCACAATCTGTCTTTTTAAAGTTATAATAAAAATATTAAAAGGAACAATCGCCCCAAGAGGTTTATTGTACACAGATTAATTCAGGTCACTGTTTACGAAAACAGAAAAAAAATATATTGATAGCAGCTCTCGAATTTTAACTGTTGTTAATAAATAAATAAATAAATGTTTAATGAGTCCACCATTATTGAGTATTTGCGAGGCATCGCTCACAATCTGTCTTTTTAAAGTTATAATAAAAATAAAACAGTTTTTTCTAATGTTTGTTTTGTATTTATATATTAATTTTGTTTCTCGTCATCTTTGGTTTTCCTTATATAAACCTCAATAGGGGGGTTTTTTGTCCAGGGGGTTTATATCGCGGAGGGTTTTTGTCCAGGGGGTTTATATCGCGGGGGGGGGGGGGGGGGGGTTGTATCCAGGGGGTTTATGTCGCGGGGGATTTATGTCCAGGGGTTTTTGTCGGGGGGTTTATGTCCATGGGGTTTATATCCAGGGTTTTTTTGACCGGGAGCCCCTAATAGATAGTCCCTGAATTTTTCAGTCACAGCCCATTTTAATGTCAAAAGTTCTAGTTTCGTGGCGCTGTAGTTTGTCATGTTCTTCTCTGATCCGTTCTGACATACGCAATAACCCTGAAACCTTCCTCCTGTTGTTGTGATAGCACGGCTCCCAGACCTTTAGAGCTGGCATCAATCTCTAGCCTAAATGTTTGTCAAAGTCTACGTCTCCCAATATCGGTGCCTTGGTCAGAACCTCTTTCAGCTGCTCAAATGCCTTTGGCATTCTTGAGTTCATAACGTCCCTATCAGTTGTGTTTTGCCTTTCTTTTTCTCCTTGTTATGTTTCTGTGCCATTTTGTTTACCAACTCGTGCAGCGGTGCCGCAATTTTAGAAAAAGCCAGGTACACATTTTCTGTAGTATGAAGCAAACACAATTACTTCCCTTTATAAAACATTGCATTAGTGGAAAAGAATTTACTTTTTATTACTTTGTTTTGGTGTTGGGAAAAAAATAATTACATAATTAGTGGGGATTGATCATGTGCAAATGTTGTAGGTATTTTACGGATAAGCTTGGAGTATTATAATTGTTCATTTGGTTTGGTTTGGCACCTACGTTCGTTTAAGTGATTGCAAAAGACTATGAATAAGTTGGGGTACTATAGTCGTTTATTAAGCTGAAACAGGCGATTCTGCCCCGGGCTAGACTGTGAGCACTTTGCGTTTATGTTCGCGTTTGTGTTTTCTTTGTGTTTAGGTTGGGTTTGCGTTAGTGGTTGCGTTTTGATTTGGTTAGTTTTTGTTCTTTCGTTTTTCGTTTTCGTTTGTGTTTTTTTTTTGGTTTTGTGTTTGTATTTGTGTTTGTGGTTGGTTTTGCCTTTGGATTTGGTTTGTTTTCGTTTGCTTTTTCGTTTGTGTTTTTGTCTTTGTGTTTGTGTTTGTGGTTGGTTTTGCATTTGGATTTGGTTTGTTTTCGTTTGCTTTTTCGTTTTTTTTCTTTGTGTTCGTATTGGTGTTTGTGGTTGTGGTTGGGTTTGTTGTTAGGTATTTGTTTTCGTTTGCTTTTTTATTTGCTTTTTCTTTGTGTTTGTATTTGTGTTTGTGTTTGTGGTTGTGGTTGGGTTTGTTGTTAGGTTTTTGTACTTGTAATTGTGTTAGCGTTATGTTTGCGTTTTGTTGTTTTGGTTTTGGTTGGTTGTAGTTTGAGTGGGCAGTGCCGGGTTTATGATGATTACTAAACACACAGGTAATGGTCTTTAACTGAAAGGTTTTTCACAGAAGCCAGAGCAGGACCTGGCCGGGACGACTAGTATTCTTATATAACTTGGAATAAAGACATGATTTTTAATTACTTAAACTTTTTAAAAAAAAATTCATAAAAAACGTTTTAATAACAAGCTTTTATGTAATGATGCACTAAAAAGTAGAAAATAAATTATAGACTACTATTTAAATAACTATAAAGAAAAGCGTGGGTCACTTTAGTATCTATTGGATACCTTTACTAATGTTAAGGAAGACACCCACGCTTTTCTTTATAGTTATTTAAATAGTAGTATATAATTTATTTTCTACTTTTTAGTGCATCATTACATAAAAGCTTGTTATTAAAACGTTTTTTATGAATTTTTTTCAGTACTTTACATGTTTTATTTACAATAGAGTTACATGA